ATCTATAATACAGAACATCATAAGGCATGGAAAACTAAAAGGCCAACCAAAATAGGTTAGTAAAAAGCTAGAAGTTAAGTAGTTAGTAAGCAGCTGGTATGCTAATAAAAGAAATTTAAGACCTATAAAGAAAAGACCTTTAGTAAGTATTGGTCTACAGTAAGTAATAACACGTTCATTATGGACCGTCCATTTCTTAATCTTTAACTGAAACTAATCACCGACTAGCTACATTCAATATGTATGCGAAAACTACGTGATTAATGACGATCAGCCCGCAGCCGATCTGTCCGGCACAAAAATCCGCGCGTGGCTTTGCACCATCCAAGCAAGGTGAGGAGCCTTCGCCCCTGCATGTGTAGACATTAATCTTCACACGTCACTGTAATTAATATCTTACGTGTTCTACAGGCGGCAAGTAAGGGCGCATCGCAGACCGTGGTCGGTCTCATTGTCGGCGTTTATCAGCTCACGGGATTCATTGTAGCCCCACTATTAGGAAAATATGTAGGTATATTAGATATATATATATATCAGGATATATATATATCAGGAGTAGATAATAGGGAATTCTCTATTATCTACTCCTGATATATATATATACGCGGCGCTGTGCCTAAATTATCAGACGCACCCGCGTGCTGAATTCATTTTTTAAGTGTTTGCCTTGCATTAATTATAAGCCGTATAAATACGCGCCTTAATTCGTGCTTAAATTAGTTGCTTTATTCATATACTTGCGTTAGTAACGTAAATCTTCTCGAGTGCAATTTCTTTGCGCGAAAGACAGTGGACCCGCTTTATCGGGCCTCGGATAAACGAGCGCATCGCTTAAACGAAATGTCTTTAAAAAATTATTATTTTTCCACGTTGTTATGTGTTCACCGCTTGATCACTACCACCACCTAATCGGGAGATGTATATTCATCGTTAGACCCGATAAAGCGGGGACCACTGTACCATTGTATTTATATCGATTCAATAATTATGAACGTAATTTCCGCTCTTCTTTTTAAATTAATCGCTGCATACGCGATATTGCTGGGTAGTTATACGATGCTGACGCTGTCGATAAAAATTTAACCACGAAATTAATTTCCTTTAGCTAACAAAGATGGGTTCCAAGTTCGTATTCATCTCCGGAATGTTCGTTGGTGGAACGTGTACAATACTGTTTGGGTACGTTTCTGTATAACAATGTTACATTGCGGGGCGCGTCGTTGTCTGTGATCTTTTCTGTTCACTTTACCACAGCAACGCCGGGTAGTCTTACCCTAGGCCTACTTTACTATTTGCTGAGGAAAACGGGGAAACGCTGCATAATTGTATAAAAATGCAAGCACGCACGCACGCTCACACACACGCACAGAACCACCACGCGACCACGCGAGTGTAATAATTAGATTGTTATTGTGACTTAAATTCATGTGGTGGTTTTATATGCGTAGATGTTGCCATTAGGATGCCGAAATTAAGAAACCCTAAATCTCGATTCAACAAGGTTATACGCAAACAAGTTAATAATTGTTTGTTGGAATGCTAGTATTATCGCGTACTCAATACATAAGTATAGAGTGTCATCGTGGCTTAAATGCATTTGGTGGTTGATACGCATCGTGATGTCATTTCGAAGCTGAAAGAATCCATAATTACCTCCGCCCACGGAGTGGAGGAGGTTATGTGATCGCTCTCGTGTAGTGTGTTCGTGTGTTAGTGTGTTAGTGTGTTCGCGCGATCGATATTAGCGCGTCGAGTCAGCAGCAGGCCAGTCAGTCAGCAGCCAGCAGCGAGCGGCGAGCCAGCTCGTAACACATACATGTTACATTCTGGCGGAGGTATGCACTCTCCGTGAGTGCCTTCTGTCTAGTTTATATTTCAACAGGGTTATACTCAAGAAAGTCCGTAATTATTTATTGGGCTCTAAGTATTATCTGGGGCTCAATAGATAGTAATCACTTTCTCAGTATTATGATAGTGATGCATATTGTGAGTGTATTAGTATAGTAGTGTAGTACGAGTAAAGTTTATGAATGTTTTATACATAAGTTGATGCGTTTATGTTTATTGTTAAAATGGTTATTGTTAACTCCATTGGTTCGTGTTCCGTCCAATAACACAAATATCGTTGCCAATAATCACACCAATATTATGTCGCTATTTTGTTTCTATTCATGATTATAATTCTCGATTATATAGTAGTGACAAAAATCAAATGATATATTTGATGTGTGCGTGTGTGCGCGTGCATGCGTGCGTGCGTGTGCGTGTCCCTGCGTGCGTCTGTACGTGAGTGCGTTCATGCGCGCGCAACGTTGAAGACATATTAGTGGGACGCCTGCTTCCCGTACGCACTGATTCACTTTAAAATAGCATATTTTGCGATGCTTAGCGATCACCTAATTAGAGGCAATTACCGCCAACAGCGCCGCGATCGTAGATTAAAGCACCGACGTGGGGCTAGCACTGGGGCTAGCGCACGCAAACAATCAAGCGCGATCGTGGCGCCCCCGGCGGCGCTTACGTCAACTCCGGCGTTGTGCGACTGCTTATTGTGTAAGGTTCCCCCGCCCAGACTGAGCCCTTGGCCACCACATCGCCGATAACTGGCAGAATTACACCGTGATCGTATACACAGATATCCGATATCCTATATAATACACCTATATATATATATACACACAGTACACAAATGTGTATACATTGTGTATACAATGTACCGTACCAATCAAAAATTACGATGGAATTATTTATATGGCGCTCGGTTATCCCACACTGTGAACGCAGAATAATGCGTACATTATGTACGCAAAATATTGTGGGATAACCGAGCGCCATATAAATAATTCCATCGTGATTTTTGATTGGTTAGTGTACGTAAAACTCAAATATCACAACGTCAATGTGACTAATCCTGCCATTGAAATGTGCTTTGCTTTCGGACGTTTTTGTTTATCTATAGACTGTTCCGTTGGTGTTTAAATAAAGTATTTCTTAAATAGATGCACAATCGTGAAAAATATTATCACTCCAGTATAAAAATGAAAGTGTCAATGACACTGTAGCTCACCACAAAAAAGGACACAAATGAGTGAGTGAGAAGAAGTCTGTTTTAATTGAGCAACCATCGACGTACATTATAGAAACGAAGAGTATATATGGGAGAACTCCCATTATATACTCTTGATAATTATATGTGTAATTTTTTATGTGAAAATAAATGTTTGAGATGTGAAAGTCTGAGATGTGGGCGAGTGATGGCGTTACACCTAATTGATTGCCATTTAACGTTTTTATAATATTCAGATTTAGGCACTGCCTAAAAGCGGAGCTCCCGATGTGTAACGTGTAATATTGAGAAGATACGCTTATACCATGTAGCTGCTATATACCACGTGACAATGGTGTTTCCCTGCCTATAACACAACTGTTGGCAAAGCTAGGTTAATTGGTTGCATGGAAGTGTTTACTTCGTATGAGTTTTTCTAGGCGGTAGCACACGGTTGCCATCTGTATATTGCAATAATAATTTATAAACCAAAATAAATCACAATTTGTATGACGGTAGATGGCGCTATACCCGCTTTAATGTTTCTTAGCGATGGCGTTCGAAATAAATAGGTTATGCTGCGTTCCGACATGTTTTGTAAAACTTTACTCCAATATAGACGTTTTGTCGGCAAGGTGGAGAGGAAATACCAATTTTGCATTAAAGATATTGTCAATAAAATCTTGTAAAACGAACCAGACGAGTGTGACACCACAGACTGTTTGTTATCTGCGTGTCTATATAACATGCTATATAATTGCCTAAACCTACATAATTTGCATTTTTTTTTAAATATCAAAACCCCTAGCCCTTATTCATTCTCATACAAAAAATGAGCAAAATCCGTTGAACCTGAACTGACTAATAACAATTCCCATTTTTGCCAAAAAATTGCCGTGGCTCGAAAGTACGTCGACTGGCGTGCTCCAAAATAGGACGTTCAATATGGGAGCATAGCAGTAACAACTTTATTCAATTTCAAACATGTGGGTCAAACGGTTCCTGAGTTATTGTTGACCGTAGCCAAATGTTGACGGACGGACGGCCGGACGTACGACGGACGCCGACCCATGGCAATAGCTCAGCTTGACGATGTCAAGGTGAGCTAATTACCATGAGTTTGCGCTGTTACGGTGTATAAAATTGCAAATAATGCAACCACTTTCGTGTCGCGAGAATTCCCTTAAAATTGGCGTGAAACACTTATTGAGTGACGCAGTAGACTGGTAGAACGTCTCTATTGCTTAATTCAAGTTACTGATCTGCTTATACTATGTTATAGTATTGAATACTGCCACCGCGTTGTAATGAATTACGCAAGACGCACTTCCAGAAAAAACGATATACTGTATTTTGTTTGAAGTTTAGGTGCTAAACTCACAACAATAACGAGCACGCGTTGGCAGACTGCCTAACATGACGATAATGCGCCTTTATGCGCATTTCTCTACCAAGAACTATGATCTTAACAGATTTCTTTAAACAGACCAGCACTGATAACAACAGACGTACCGGTGCCTGTACGTACCAAGGGCCCGGTTATCAGAAACCTCATCAAGTATTTACTATCAACTAAAACAACATAATCTTTGCACGACACTAAAACAGTCATGATATTTTAAACTTGTGATGGCATAACTATTTATGTTTTTTACGACCGGCCTCTCGGCCGGTTGTCACAAACTAATAGCATGAACACACGTATATGCACAGAAGCACGCACACTTCTATATAAACTATATAGTACTGTATAGATATGTTCATGCTATAAGTATGTTTATAATATCAGTAGTGTCCTAATATCAGTAGTGTATAATAATAGATATTATTATACACTCCTGATAATATAGATTACCTAGTCACTAGATAGTGTCTATATCATGACACTCCTGATAATACGTGTAAGCTATGCGTGTATCATGCTAATAGTTCATGATGTGAGCTCTATATCTATGATATAATGCCACCCGAAGGGACATTATTATGACTACATCTGTACACCCTCACCATGTTGCTCCAATGGAATTTTTTAACATGACTTTTAAAAATCAACGTCTGTGTGTCCAACTACCACCGCAAAAAGCCAGGCATTATCTCACATTGTGTTCATCAGCACCGCGTTGGCTGGACTGATGAAATGGTGCATGCTCGGTTCTCCATAAAACATAACACGGGTGGGATCATAGACATATATAGAGACACCTAGTCTACCTATATTATTTCTATGAGAAGGCTACATCTCTTTCTAACTGTACGATATACATACAACCACAAACACAAGCAAGCATGCACGCGCGCAGGCGTGCACGCACACACGGACATGTGTATATATATATATAATTTAGACATGTCCATGATACAACCATGAACACATATAGAGTTCCATGTTCAGTTTATGTGTTCATTATATAACACAGTCGTCAGCTGATGATGAAATCTACACGTAACGAGAACATTAGTTTGATTATCACTAGTTATTATAATATTATATTATTATTTATTATACTAATAATATTATTTATAATTATCATTAGTTATAAAAATAATAACTGTTGATTTTTGCTGGCAATCTTATTAAGCGTTCAGAACACAGAGAACCAACAAAAATTAATAGAATTTTCTTCCGATTCGAGGCAAGTAACATATGGCATTTCCTCCAATTTATCTACCTAGATAGCTTCACGGGGCTAAATAGCTACTACAGGCAGACTCAACTACGTGACCAGTACAACAACACAGCATGCACCAATATAATATCATCTTAGGTGGATATTTGCTATAAATGACACATTAATGTGAATATATCACATAAATGCAGTAATTATTTTGCACGATAAACAATATGTATTTACAGTAAAAATTACTACTACTTAAGCTAGCTATGCAAATCTATTGCCATGTTGTAATCACTATTAGAAACAAATGTATACAATATACATACATAGGCTCATGTCAATAACAATACTGGTTATACGCAGTATAAGCATTAGCCAATACTTAACATGTCAACACCGTTTTATATCCCTACACACTACATCTGCACCGAACTTTCACATGGGCATCAATTCTAAAATTTGGGATTGTCACAGAATACAAACGAGAATGTGTATTTTACACTCTGCCTGGCATAACATCACATATAAGGAATAGCATTTTTAATGGGGAACCCTATTCCACGGTTGAATATATCAAACATCTGTTGAAAACATCACCACTCATTCGACTATTATATTAGTTAACACTTTAATTTACCTTTTCACTGTGTATATCAAGAAATAAAATTACATAGACATATAAAGGAATGCATAAAGATTTAGATAACCCGCATTTTTCACCGGAAATCAGCAACAAAATATAACAATGTCAACCCGTTTTTTAAGAAAAATGTAACCTAGTTCTTGATGGGTATGAGATTGTACAGGTAACTGGCAATGTACCAATGGGGGAAGACTCAGCTGTGCTAAGCATATCCGGCTATCGATTGGGCTGAATGATCAACTGATCCATAACCATTATCAGTCGAACTAATTCGGTCATATTTCACCTCCGTTTCTCCAACGCCATGGCAACACCAGTTGTTAAAGTAGCAGATGTAGAAAAGCAACACAACCGCCTGAAATGAGAATAGAATGTGATGAACATGATGTGATTCATAAAGCATTTGAGGAAAGTCATGATATGGATGCATGCATACACTCATACCTAGGGAATGAAGAGTGGCTCGCTCAAAAACAATGACTTTACAACTGCTCATGCAATACAATTACTGTATAACAACATCAACAAGTGCCGCGGAGCGACAGCGCTCATCTAACGTCTACTGCGGTGACTCTGTGGTGGAGTGGTGGGATTCTAGTAAACCCTGTTAGTCCCAAATGTGTTCACATAAAATCCACATCTGCACACACACGAGAACAGCTTGTCCAGATTCCCTCTGCGACCGAGATGGCACCTCTTCTTTCCCGCGCAATCCAAGAACAAAGGCTTTATCCTAAATCCCCCCATAACTTTCCTACACTAACACCAGGCGTCAGCACTATGCAGAGTAAGTCATGTACAAAACAACACTACAGACTCCGAATAAATGAGTGTACCAAAACACACGCTCACACACCATAAAGGGTTCGGTTATTGTATCGAATGGATGGGGTTTAAAAAGTCGACCACATGGAACCGACTAAACCCGTAGAATCAGAAAGGTCTGGTCCAGTACTCATGATTATTATCTTATAGAAACGTTGAAATGTAGGCCGCTGTAGAAATAGATGTACGACCAGCATCGGCGTGAACAGTAGAAGAAGCATATCGTTAAGAATACGATGCAATACGGAGAGTGTAGACTTACCGTAGACTTACCGTAGACTTTGTAGACTTAGAGTGTAGAGTGTAGTTAGTTTAGAGTAGTTATATTTACATAAATACACGCGCGCGCTATGGGCAAGATACGCTGCAGCGACACCGACCAACTGTAACGTCTGACGACCGTTTAGAAAATTACACGCACGCGATAACGTACATCCTGCAACACGGGATCACGTCATCTCCTAAAACGACATCATACACACATAGAGGATCTATTAATCCTCACACACACACACACACACGCGCGCGCGTACGCACGCACGCACGCACGTACACGCATACGCACACATACACACACGTACGCATGCACGCATGCATACACACAACCGTACACGCATACACGCACTCACGCACACCCACTCGTACGCACACACATGCACATACTCGAAAGCCCGTGCGCACACACACGAACGCGCGTACGAACGCACGCACGCACGCACACACACGTACGTCTAAACACGCAGGCACACACGGACGCAGGCACGCACGCACGCACATGCACACGCACGAACGCACGCAAACACGTGACAGCACACACGCACGCACACACGCATAGACACACGCACACATACGGGGAATGGAATGGGTAGCATACAGTTTGCAGCCTATTAACACCGAACCACCTTCGCTCTTTTAGGGTCACACGAAGTTGCTTATGCTTTTAGGAACGTCGGTCAACGTGATTTGCTTCCTGTTCATTGGTCCGGCGCCATTTTTCCACAGTGAAACGTAAGTAAAGTTGTCAGTCAACACTTGTCAGTCAAAAGTTGTCAGTCAAAAGTTGTCAGTCATTGCCACAGCATTCTTACTATTCTACTCACGCTGTATAGATAGTGGAATTAATGTCCTGCTTGTATATTAAGGGAATTTACCTCCATTTACCGCGTGCCTCATACCTATTTATATTGCCTCGCACTATGTCGTTGTTCAAGTGTATCGATCTGTAAGGAGGAAAAATAAGGGAATCAATATAACAACTAGTGATATAAATGATATAATTACGTAGGTATTGACTCACAGCGCCCGCGTTTGACCTTTTAATGGTCTGCTCCCATGATGCCCCATGAAGTCGCATGATTTCTTCAAATTGGTGGTGGTAGCCTACGTGGTGCTGGTAAAGATGATGATGGTGACGGTGATGTTGATGATGATGATGATGGTGATGGTGATGTTGATGGTGATGATGATGATGATGATGATGACGATGATGGTGATGATAATGATGATGATAATCATGATAACGATGATGGTCACGAGGATTACTATAATAATGAATGATCATGATTATGATATCGAGATAAATTTCACCTTACGACTATATTTTGCAGATATCTATCCGTTGTGATATTCTGTTTAGCTTTACAAGGTGCTGGCCTCGGGGGACAGCTTGTACCTAGTCTTCTGGATATGCTCAAGACAGCGAAGTATATAGTACATGCGCGTTGCGCTCCATTAATAACGCTATGCATTAAATTCCTAACCTATGTATTTGGTTTCAGTTTAGCTTATCTCCCAGCGTGGTCGGGCTGGTGTTTCTGGTTAACCCCACATTGTACGCATTGACTGCTCTTCTGTGGGGTCGACTAGGAGATAGATGGGTAAGTGTAGAACATGGGGGACAGGTTCGCGCACCCTGGTCTCGGGGTAGGGCTTGTGAAGTCCAGGGGGCGAATCCTCAAATCGTAATGTTTCCTGACACCTGAAAACCCACTATAAAGGGTTCGGTTATTGTATCGAATGGATGGGGGTTAAAAAGTCGACCACATGGAACCGACTAAACCCGTAGAATCAGAAGGGTCTGGTCCAGTACTCATGATTATTATCTTATAGAAACGTTGTAATGTAGGCCGCTGTAGAGATAGATGTACGACCAGCATCGGGGTGAACAGTAGAAGAAGCATATCGTTAAGAATACGATGCAATTCGGAGAGTGTAGACTTACCGTAGACTTACCGTAGACTTTGTAGACTTAGAGTGTAGAGTGTAGTTAGTTTAGAGTAGTTATATTTACATAAATACACGCGCGCGCTATGGGCAAGACACGCTGCAGCGACACCGACCAACTGTAACGTCTGACGACCGTTTAGAAAATTACACGTACGCGATAACGTACGTCCTGCAACACGGGATCACGTCATCTCCTAAAACGACATCATACACACATAGAGGATCTATTAATCCTAACACACACACGCGCGCGCGTACGCCAGCACGCACGCACGTACGCGCATACGTACACATACACACACGTATACGCACGCACGCTTGCATACACACAACCGTACACTCATACACGCACTCACGCACACCCACTCGTACGCACACACACGCACATACTCGCAAGCCCGTGCGCACACACACGAACGCGCGTACGAACGCACGCACACACACACGTACGTCTAAACACGCTGGCACACACGGACGCAGGCACGCACGCACGCACATACACACGCACGAACGCACGCAAACACGTGACAGCACACACGCACGCACACACGCATGGACACACGCACACATACGGGGAATGGAATGGGTAGCATACAATTTGCAGCCTATTAACACCGAACCACCTTCGCTCTTTTAGGGTCACACGAAGTTGCTTATGCTTTTAGGAACGTCGGTCAACGTGATTTGCTTCCTGTTCATTGGTCCGGCGCCATTTTTCCACAGTGAAACGTAAGTAAAGTTGTCAGTCAACACTTGTCAGTCAAAAGTTGTCAGTCAAAAGTTGTCAGTCATTGCCACAGCATTCTTACTATTCTACTCACGCTGTATAGATAGTGGAATTAATGTCCTGCTTGTATATTAAGGGAATTTACCTCCATTTACCGCGTGCCTCATACCTATTTATATTGCCTCGCACTATGTCGTTGTTCAAGTGTATCGATCTGTAAGGAGGAAAAATAAGGGAATCAATATAACAACTAGTGATATAAATGATATAATTACGTAGGTATTGACTCACAGCGCCCGCGTTTGACCTTTTCATGGTCTGCTCCCATGATGCCCCATGAAGTCGCATGATTTCTTCAAATTGGTGGTGGTAGCCTACGTGGTGCTGGTAAAGATGATGATGGTGACGGTGATGTTGATGGTGATGATGATGATGATGATGATGACGATGATGATGATGATGATGATGATGATGATGATGATGATGATGATGATGATGATGATGATGATGATAACGATGATGGTCACGAGGATTACTATAATAATGAATGATCATGATTATGATATCGAGATAAATTTCACCTTACGACTATATTTTGCAGATATCTATCCGTTGTGATATTCTGTTTAGCTTTACAAGGTGCTGGCCTCGGGGGACAGCTTGTACCTAGTCTTCTGGATATGCTCAAGACAGCGAAGTATATAGTACACGAGTAGCATGAATTTAAACGAAGGCGATTTACACTAAACCGCAAATAGCACGCTTGTTACATTTATGTTTCAAATGTATCCTGCACTTTCGTAACCAATTACCAATGTGGATTTTTCAGTATCGAGAAGAAAATAAAAGAAATGAATACGATGATCACTCGCGATGAATATTAGTGTAGAGTATGTGGTCGTTAACAAATGTTACTAGTCACAGTTTAAATCTACGCATAATATCAGAAGTGAATAATAATAGACGCGAACATACAGTGATGAAAACATACCTATAGCGTCGTACAATATATTAATAGTGTGACTTAATGACTGACCAACGTTTCTTGTTTTTTTAAAGTCAGTCTTACTGATTTTTCAGGCAACATGGATTTCCTGACGACTACACTACATACGCACTAGTCTCGGGCATTTTTAACGCATTTTTCGCACTCGGGTAGGAACATTTCCATGGTTTTAAGAGTGAATACTTCGCATTTCTAACTTGTCATAAGCATTTCTTGATACAACAGTGATCTATAGTATTTCCAATCGTATACATATTTGCTTGTGTTTTTAACAGATCATTGGTACTACTTTAGATTTATAGTCAAAACAACAACAACAATTTGTCAAGCAATGGCACATTAGGAGATTAGTTTCCGTGCTTATGAAATACTTAATCTCACACAAGCATGCTTTTTCTCGTTCATAATTTCAGTGCCTTCCTTGGACCGACCATAGGCGGGATCATGGATGACTATATGGATTGAAGGGCAGCGTTTGTATGGGTGATAGAAGTAGCAATGTGTTAAGTATCTATATATCAGAGAAAAAATGAAGTATATTATCACATGTAATGCCGTAGAATATCTGAGAGCTTATTTTAATGTAGCAGCAGAGAAATTTACGTACGTTTGCCGCTATATTTCTTTTCTCTGCGTAGTTGGGCATTACATATTTGTGTATGCGATGATATTTTTTATGTACAAGCGCTATTTATGCTGATGTAAATAATTCCGTGTCTGATATATTAACCTCGTATCACTTCACAGTTTCTACTGCTTGCTGGTGGTATTGCATAAATATTACAAGTTAAAATTCAATGGGCGAAACACCTCTCGTCGAATTCTTAGACAGTCAGGCAGATGATCGGAAACCTTTGCTACACTAAAATCCTACAGTCTGAATTCTTCTAACGGTTCCATTAGAGTAGATAGCGAAACCAGCGATGCCTTACTACAAAAAAGGAAAATGTTGACGCCAATGAAAATATCTCTGTCGTAATGAAAAGCTTGTTAGGCACCTCCGTCACATTGATGCGCGAGTTTAGTGCGCTATATTGAATATCAATTGTGGGCACAGTTGCAATCAGTAATAAACGAAAACAAAGATTTTTATTGAAAACAACTTAATTAAAACAAATGTTCAGTATCAAATGTGTTTTGATTTTAATTCACCTCCTGTTCTCAATGATAATAGAATCAATCGTTTTAAATAGCCCGGTGATAGCTTCATCACTTGATTTATATGGATCGATAGCAGAAAGGTCGTATTCATCGTATTTTAACCGTATTAAGGCCTATATATTACGTGATATTTGACTTGTATATTTGCAAACCTAAAATGGCGGATCACTAGTTATACGGAGTTAACGTTGCTTCCCTCACGATCTAAAAATTACAAATGATGATTTATATATTATAATAGTATTAATAATATTATATAGAGTAATAATCGATATCTTATCGTTAATAGTTATCCTGTATTGTATACTTTGTATTCCGTCGCCTAAGCAAAGTTCCCAGTGTAATTATGCGGGGATTCCCGCTGTGCCTCCATGGCTTCACCGGCGGCTGCTATTTCAAGGTGCTACATAACATATGTCTATGCGCACACACGGGAGTTATGTGGGGGGTTGGTTGTGGGGCGGGCGCGCGGCCCGGAGGGCAGAGATCGTATTATTGATCGTGGAACAATGAATATATGAACGTACTCGCGAACGTAAATGAATACCCACCATGTTCTCTATTTCTACGCGCGTATGAAATATCGGCTAATCGAAACCACCACGCGACCACGCGAGTGTAATAATTAGGTTGTTATGGTGACTTTAAATTCATGTGGTCGGTTTTATATGCGTAGATGTTGCCATTACGGATGTCCCGAAAAAGGCCCTAAATTCGATTCAACCAAGGTTATACGCAAACAAGCTTAATAAATTGTTTGTTGGAATGCTAGTATTGATCGTGTCTCATCTAATGACATACAGTATAGATGTGTCATCGGCTTAAATTGCATTGGTGGTTGATACGCAATCGGATGTCATTTCGAAGCATGAAAGAATCCATAATTACCTCCGCACCACGAGTGGAGGAGGTTAGTGATCCTCTCCGGTATGTTTGTGTGTAGTGTGGTAGTGTGTCGCTGCCGATCGATATTACGCGTCGAGTCAGCAGCAGGCCCATCAGTGCAGGCAGCCAGGCACGAGCGCGAGCCAGCTCTGTAACACAATACATAGTTAATCTGCGGAGGTATGCAGCTCTCCGTGAGTGCCTTCTGTCTATTTTATTATTTCAATCAGGTTATACATCAAGAAAGTTCCTATTATTACATTTGGCGTCTAAGTATTATCTTGGGCTCATAGATAGTAATCACTTATCTCAAGTATTATGAATAGGATCCATATTGGAGTGTATTTAGGTATAGTTAGTAGTATACGAGTAAAGTTTATAATGTTTATACATAAGTTTATGCTTTTAATGTTTATTGTAAAATGGTTAATGTTAACGTCCAATTTGGTTCGTGTTTCGCGTCCAATAACCAGCAAATATCGTGCCAATAATCACGATCCAATATTATGTCGGCTATTTTTGTTTCTATATGGTATTATAAATCGCAGATATATAAGTAGTTACAAAATCAATGATATATTTGATGTGTGCGTTGTGTGCGCGTGCATGCGTGGTGGCGTAGTTGCGGTGTCCGCGTGGCGTCTGTACGTGAGTGCGTTCATGGCGCGCGCAACGTTGAAGACATATAATGGGCACGGCCTGCTTCCGCGGTACGCAACTGATTCAACTTTAAAAATAGGCATATTTTGTGCGAATGCGTAGCGATCACCTTAATTAGAGGCAATTACGGCCCAACCAGCGCCGGCGATCGTAGATTAAGCACCCGACGTGGGCTTAGCAACTGGGGCTAGCGCACGCAAACAATCAAGCGCGATCAGCTGGCGCCGCGGCGCCTTTACAGTCAACTCCGGCGTGTGTGCGACTGCTTATTGTGTAAGGTTCCCGCCCAGACTGACCCTTGGCCAGCCACGGGTCGCCGATAACTGGCAGAATTACAGCCGTGATCGTAGTACACAGATATCAGCATATCCTATATAATACACCTATATATAATAGTATACATCACAGTATCACAAATGTGTAATACATTGTTATACAATGTACCGTACTGCAATGCAAAAATCTACGATGGAAGTTATTTATATGGCGCTCGTTATCCCACACGTGTGAACGCAGAATAATGCGTACATATTGTACGCGCATTATATTGTGGGATAACCGCGAGCGCCATATAAATAGATATGTCAATCGTGACTTTTGATTGGTTCAGTGTACGTAAAACTCAAATATCACAAGTCAATGTGACTAATCCTGCATTGAAATGTGCTTTGGGCTTTCGGAGCGTTTTGTTTATCTAAGAAACTGTTTCGGCGTGTGGTGTTAAATAATATTTCCTTAAAACAAATTTACGATGCGACAATCGTGAAATATATTATCAACTTCCAAGTATAAAAATGAAAGTTCCAATGACACTGTACCACCACAAAAAAGGACAAATGAGTGAGTGAGAAGAAGTCTGTTAAATTGAGCCAACAGCATACGTAATTATAGAGAAGAAGAAGTATATATGGAGAACTCCCATGTATATACTCTTGATAATTATATGTGTACATTTTTATGTGAAAATAAATTTTGAGATGTGAAATCTGAGATGTGGGCGAGTGGATGGTTTAACCTAATTGATTGCCATTTAACGTTTTTATACATATTCGATTTAGGCACTGCTTAAAAGCGAGCTCCGATGTTGACTGTTAATATGAGAAGATACGCTTATACCACTGACAATGGTGTTTCTGCCTGCCTATACACAACTGTTGGCAAGCTAGAGTTAGATTGGTTGCATGGAAAGTGTTACTTCGATGAGTTTTTCTAGGCGTACCACGTTGCCATTCTGATATTGGCAATAATAATTTAATAAACCAACATAAATCACGATTTTGTGACGGAATGGCGGCTATAACCCGGCGCTTTAATGTTTTCTATAGCGATGGCGTTGCGAAATAAATAGGTGTATGCTGGCGTTCCGACAATGTTTTGTAAAACTTTACTCGCAATATAAGCGTTTGGTGCGCAAGGTGGAGAGGAAATACCAATTTTGCATTAAAGATATTGTCAATTAAATCTTGTAAAACGAACCAGACGACGGACACCACGACTGTTTTGTGTACCGCGTGTCTATATAATATGCTAATATAATTGCCGAAACCTATCCTAATTTGCATTAATGTTTTATTTTTATAATATAAAACCCTAGCCCTTATTCATTCTCATAGCCAAAAATGAGCAAAATCGCGTTGAACCTGAACTGACTAATGGCAATTCCGCTTTTTGCCAACAAATTGCCGCGTGTCCTCGCAGAAAGTACGCCTTCAGCATGCGTGCTCGCAAAATAAGGACGTCACATATGGGGCATAGAGGAGTAACAACTTTATTGCATTTCAAACATTTGGGTCAAACGTCTCCTGAGTTATTGTTGAACCTGTAGCCAAATGTTGACGGACGGACGGCCGACGTACGACGACGACGACCATGGCGAATAGGCTCAGGCTTGACGATCGTCAAGGTGAGCTAATTACCATGAGTTTGCGGCTGTTACGGTGTATAAAATTGCAAATAGATGCAACACACTTCGTGTCGGCAGAATTCCCTTAAATTCGTGAAACCTTATTGAGTGACGCCAGTAAGACTGGTAGAACGTCTCTATTGCTTAATCCAAGTTACTGATCTGCTTATACTATGTTATAGCTATCTTGAATACTTGCCCACCGCGTTGTAATGAATTACGCAAGACGCACTTCCAGAAAAAATCGATATACTGTTTTTGTTTGAAGTTTAGGTGCTAAACTCACAACAATAACGAGCACCGTTGGCAGACTGGCCTAAACATGACGATAATGCGCCTTTATGCGCATTTCTCTACCAAGAACTATGATCTTAACAGATTTGCTTTAAACAGACAGCACTGATAACAACAGACTACCGGTGCCTGTACGTACCAAGGCCCCGGTTATCAGAAACCTCATCAAGTATTTACTATCACTAAAACAACATAATCTTTGCACGACACTAAAACAGTCATGATATTTTAAACTTGTGATGGCATAACTATTTATGTTTTTTACGACCGCCTCAAGTATAACAGCTACATGAGGGTAGTTGGGTTGTCACAAACTAATAGCATGAACACACGTATATGCACAGAAGCACGCACACTTCTATATAAACTATATAGTACTGTATAGATATGTTCATGCTATAAGTATGTTTATAATATCAGTAGTGTATAATAATAGATATTATTATACACTCCTGATAATATAGATTACCTAGTCACTAGATAGTGTCTATATCATGACACTCCTGATAAATACGTGTAAGCTATGGCGTGTATCATGCTAATAGTTCATGATGTGAGCTCTATATCTATGATATAATGCCACCGAAGGCGACATTATATGACTACATCTGTACACCCTCACCATGTTGCTCCAATGGAATTTTTAACATACATTTAAAAATCAACGTCTGTGTGTCCAACTTACCACCGGCAAAAAGCCAGGCAATCTCACATTGTGTTCATCACCCGCGTTGGCTGACTGATGAAATGGGCATGCTGCGTTCTCCATAAAACATAACACGGGTGGGATCATAGACATATATAGAGACACCTAGTCTATGATATATTAATTCTATGAGAAGGCTACATCTCTTTCTAACTGTACGATATACTACAACCACAAACACAAGCAAGCATGCACGCGCGCAGGCGTGCCACGCACACACTGACATGGTTATATAATATATATATATAATATATATATATATATATTATATATATATATATATAAGACATGTCCATGATACAACCATGAACAATATAGAGTTCGCATGTTCAGTTTTATGTGTTCATTAATATAACTACTGATACCTGATGATGAAATCTACACGTAACGAAACATTAGTTTGATTATCACTAGTTATTATAAATTATATATTATATATACTAATAATATTATTTATAATTATCATTAGTTATAAAAAATAGAACTGTTGATTTTGCTGGCAATCTTATTAAGCGTTCAGAACACAGAGAACCAACAAAAATTAATAGAATTTTCTTCCGATTCGAGGCAAGTAACATATGGCATTTCCTCCAATTTATCTACCTAGAATAGCTTCAGGGCAAATAGCTACTACAGCAGACTCAACTACGTGACCAGTACAACAACACAGCATGCACGCAATATAATATCATCTTAGGTGGATATTTGCTATAAATGACACATTAATGTGAATATATCACATAAATGCAGTAATTATTTGCACGATAAACATATGTATTACAGTAAAAATATACTACTACTTAAGCTAGCTATGCAAATCATATTGCCATGTTGTAATCACTATAGAAAAGCAAAGTATACAATATACAACATAGGCTCATGTCAATAACAATACTGGTTATACGCAGTATAAGCATTAGCCAATACTTAACATGTCAAACGACCGTTTAATATCCCTACACACTACATCTGCACCGAACTTTCACATGGAATCAATTCTAAAAATTTGGGATTGTCACAGAATACAAACGAGAATGTGTATTTTACACTCTCCTGGCATAACATCACATATAAAGGAATAGCATTTTTAATGGGGAACCCTATCCACGGTTGAATATATCAAACATCTTTGAAAACATCACACTCATTCGACTATTAATATTATTTAACACTTTAAATTAACTTTTCACTGTGTATATCAAGAATAAAATTACATAGACATATAAAGGAATGCATAAAGATTTAGATAACGCCGCATTTTTCACCGGAAATCAGCAACAAAATATAACAATGTCAACCCGTTTTTAAGAAAAATGTAACCTAGTTCTTGATGGGTATGAGATTGTACAGGTAACTGGCAATGTACCAATGGGGGAAGACTCAGCTGTGCTAAGCATATCCGCTATGCGATTGGGCTGAATGATGCACTGATCAAACATTATCAGTCGAACTAATTCTGTCATATTTCACCTCCGTTTTCTCCAACGCCATGGCAACACCAGTTGTTAAAGTAGCAGAATGTAAGAAAAAGCAACACAACCGCCTGAAATGAGAAAGAATGTGATGAACAGATGTGATTCTATAAAGCAATTTTGAGAAAGTCATGATATGGATGCATGCATACACTCATACAGGAAATGAAGAGTGGCTCGCTCAAAAACAATGACTTTACAACTGCTCATGCAATACAATTACTGTATAACAACATCAACAAGTGCCGCGGAGCGACAGCGCTCATCTAACGTCTACTGCGGTGACCTGTGGTGGATGTGTGGATTCTAGTAAACCTGTTAGTCCCAAATGTGTTCGCATAGCGCCGAAACAGTGGAAGGCACAGGGATGGTATCAGGAACCTTCTCGAAGGAATGTTCGTTGGGATCGTTATGAAAGTTGCCACGAGATGGCGCGTACGTAGTAGCAACAACTATTTGCAAGACAGAATAGGTAAGCACTCATCCATACTACGCAAGCCTACGCTGAAATAGAGAGCTGCCACCTGTAACTAATTAACGCAGGCAAAAAACACAAGTACCACTGGCAGTGGCATACGTTACATGTAACACACTGACAGTACAGAATGCCATAGAAATTATACAATTTAAGGAGCATAAACCTTCTTCAACCAAATTTAGCTTTTGAAATTTCACTGTGCATTGTAGCCTCATACAATCAAGCATGTATAGATTCTACTACAAACCCGGCAGTCAATATCTTCTAACAGTAAACAAATCCATGTTTAACCTCGCTCTTGAGGGTCAAAAGGTTATCCGACACTTACTCTTCGCATGTCAGCAGAAAGTACATTTCATGGTCCTTTCATAAAGCCATAAAAATGCTAAAAAGTTTTCAATCGTTCCGTCAGACCATGTCCTCAAAAATGTCTAAAATCTCCAATTTCGGCACAGTGATGGCTTTTCCTACCATGATGCTATACACCGACTATCCACAAGCCTAGGTCGAGCCGTTTATATTTGTGCCGCAATTCTGCATTCCTCCCTATACCTTAAGTTAAGGAGGGAATGTTCCCCCTTCTTTTACACCTCTTGCCCTTTGACTGCTTAACCCCCAGCTTCGACATCCCAACTCGTTTTCGGATTACCCCCTCACGTCCGACATATCGTGACCGTATCGATCGTTAAAGATTTGTGCCCAACTGTTGACGGACGGACGGACGGACGGCCGCACGATCATGCGATTCTACAAGCTGCATCTGACTATGTTAGATGAGCTAAAAATACATTTAACATAATTTTCATAACCGTAAAGCAATTCACGAGCAAAAAGCAATGAAAGCACACCATGCCCTGCCACCTATGAAAAAAATATGTGAATAATTCCCAGCTTGCAATCCTGCCTAACCTATGCCATCCTGTGTGACACCCAAAACTAACTATGCTATTTTTTCAAAATATAATCCTTCAGCAAGTGAAATGGATAGAGTACCAGTAGAATGTTGAATGCAGAGAAGAGTGATGTTCCCCAGGGAAACCCAATGTAATCGACCAGAGCTCCTGCCACCGTCGGTCCAATGGCAGCCCTGGAACATATGTAAATTAAGTTATTCGAAAATTCCATAGTTACATTTTGCAATCCTGATATAGTGACTAGAATAATCACAGGATAAGGGTTTAATCACGTAGAAAGCCTGTTCAACAACCAAGCAGGCAACTGCACTCTAAAATGACTGCAATGGTTAAATTGATAGGTTTACGTTCCAAGGGATGGCGCTAGGAGTGGATTAGAATGCATTCATGTAGGATCAGCATCTAAGACTTTACATCGATTCTAGTTTGTGGAACAAATGTTATCAGTATGTACTTTTGTAGTATGTTGTACGTATGTGTAGATTACTACACAAGTATTAAAGATTACCAGTATAAACACACTTAGTTGCATAAGTATTCTAAGTTTCGGTAGTAGATTAAATTTCACGAAAACTAAATACAATCTATTGGCTGAGTTTGTAATCTTAAAATTTAAACAATGTTTCCATAACCTTCCGACAAAATATTAAGAGAGCAGCAATACAAACGATTTCTATAACACAGATGAGCTCGACATAGGTATATTTAAAAATTAAATATAGTTTTGCAAGATTACCCCAATGTTATGCAAGTCCAAGCAGTTTCGGAAGCATTATGTGACTGCAAGCAATAACACGTACCATCTAGATGTGACACTCCCCAATAATTAAAGTAGCACCACAATCTTTAAATAGCACCTATTATTATCTGGAGAAATGAAGAATACAGTCTAAGGTTGCACAGGTCTTAAACGATGATGCATCAGGTCAGTACCTACCCTAATGAGAAGCAGGTGCTGTACATGCCGGATAGCAATCCGTATGTCTCAAAGTTGTCCGGAAAGCCATTATTTCTGCAAAACACGCACACACGTACAAAATAAAACAAAAATGTCAGTGATAAATATCAGTATTATATACCTACCCAAATGGAAAAAAGGCACGATTATACGTATAGTTCCATGTTGCATGACGAGTTAGTAATAAGTGGATAAGTAGCACATACTAACCGATTTTAAGGATACTCTCAAGGTTTTAGGAAAAATTTTACCAATTTTTCATTTTCAACTTTATTCGATGGCTAACACTATGTGCCACCTGTGTGCATGCTCATTTCTCCATATAACCAGAAGTAGATAATAGGGAAATTCCCTATTATCTACTTCTGATATAACAGTACATGTGAACTGTCCGAGCGTTTTGATTGCCCGTGTACATGTATAGTGAGCCACGGCTGACGTTATGATGACGTCAGAGACATGATACAATCAGCATTTTCACGATATTCACTCAGCCAGTATCCATCAACATCAACCCTACTACTACCCTGATCCAACAAGTATCCCACAAAAGCCCAAAATAGTTATAACACCACGCAACACACCTTACATAAGGAGCGCGTTTGTTGACAGTGACAGCAGGCAATGAGCGGGTTCGCGCCACTTTGCATGAAATTGCGTTGGTCACCTCGTAATTTCTCAGAATTTCTCAAGGTGCATGGAACATTTACCAATTTAGTGGTGTCAGTTAGTCATGGATATGTCGCAGTAAGTACTAACAGTAGATATTTCACATACATTCACCCATTTTTCACACAGGCAGTCGATCATTGTGAAAAATTGGAAAACGCTGATTTCTCCGTTCCAATTTCTGACTTAGTAGTCGATGTATAAATGGATATTTCTCTGTGATTACAACTCGGAATAATTTAATTTTACACTCGTTTTAATGGTAACATATTGCTGTAAACAAGTGCCGCAGTGCGACAGGGCTCATCTGGTGTCTGGTGTTCTGCTGATAAATTCATTTGTGCATAGCAAGACGTCTTATACATAAGTCTTCTTTATTCTTGTTTGACTTTCGTAGCCAATTCGAACAAATATGTCAGCTACACTTCGCACCCAGCTAATCTCTATGCATTCCAGACACATTTGCATTGCAGGTTGGCAGGCAACAATTATGATTAGAAGCGTGCCAGCCATGGGCTGCCCTGTGTTTTTGCCTACCCACACAAGCATTCACTGATTCAGCCTTCAGGGTGCTATAGACAGACTGCTTTAGAAAATAATATGATTTAAGGAGCGTAAACCTTGTTCAACAAACATTTGCCTTTGCAATTCAACTGTGCAACTGTAGCCTCACATTCACACAGGTATGGGCTCTAATAATAGCAAAAGCAGTTCAGTCTTTTGTTACCAGTCAACAAATCAATGTTTAACCCTCCTCTTGACACTTACTCTTCGCATGTCAGCGGAAAGTACATTTTAATGGTCCTTTCAATAAAGCTATAAAAATGGTAGGTCACTGCTGAAACAAAAAAGTTTTTCAATCGCTCCGTCAGACCATGTCCTCAGAAAATGTATAAAATCTCCCATTGACCTTTGACCCGTGACCTCCAATTTCGGCACAGTGATGGCTTTTCCTACCATGATGCTATACACCGACTATCACGAGCCTAGGTCGAGCTGTTTAGATTTGTGCCGCAATTCTGCATTTCCTCCCTATACCTTAAGTTAAGGAGGGAATGTTCCCCCTTCTTTTACACCTCTTGACCTTTGACCTTTGACCCCCAGCTTCGACATCCCAACTCGTTTTGACGATCCCCCGAATATCGTGACCGGACATCAAGCGGTTAAGATTTGTGCCGAACTGTTGACGCACGGACGCACGGCCGGACAGACGCACGGACGGACGCACGCACGCTCATGCGATTCTACAAGCTGTATCTGACTATGTCAGATGAGCTAAAAAGCACGTCAGGGATTGTTATTAAGTGCCGTATTTTATGAGTTATGTCTCTTTATTCGCTAAAATTTTAAATTCAAATGTGACTTGAATTTTAGGCAGTTTTTTTTCATTTTTCTCGGTAAATATGAAACAAAGAAACATCCTGATGCGCTATTTTGGTACATATTGTGCTTAACATGTGGCGAAAATTTTGTATCCTCACTCTTTCTGGTAATTGAGAAATATCCCAAATACCATTTTTACATAAAAATTCAAAATTTGTGTGGCAACATAATTCGGTGCTGGAAATTTCATGAAATTTTTTGGCTTGAACATAGAGATATATCTCCTTTATAAATAAAACAAGTGATTGATACGATTCATTCATCAATAAACGTTTAATCTTCATTAGAGCAATATACCGGCCCCTGCAAAAGGTGGAGAGTATCCTTTTAAACAGTTGCACACGCATAAGACAGTAGGATATTACTTACAGAATTTGTGTACTATCTAAAAGATTATATATTTATCACAGTATTCTAACTGCATGCGCTCGAGATTATCTAGTTTACGTACATGATCTGATGCAGGCAAAACTTGAATGGAGACACCATTTGTGCAGCAGTGCCTATTCCTAGCAGCACCAGAGCAATAATCACTACCCACAACTGCCTGAAATAACATGGTGGTAAATACAAGTAATGAAATCGATCTAAAAGTGTGCATATATCTATGCATAATACAAATATATCAAAGAAATTAATAAAGTATCTAAGTAAGCTACATACACTTTTATATAGCTGTTGTTAACCGAATAAATACGTTTTCATCCTATACGTTCACATGTTTATCTTGTACAATCACGAAATAGTTTCAGCTTGGTTCACTTACGCTGAGAGGGTCTATGTCCCCCGGGGTACTGCTGGAACGTACCCTGGTACTATCTAATATGCCGGCCGTACCTCGCCTACTTCACTAACGAGTCTAGGGAGTCGCCTACGCCTACTCCCTAACCCTAACCCTAACCCTAATCCTAACCCTAACCATATCAAATAGTGACCAGGGTACGTTCCGGCAGTACCCTGGGGGACATAGACCCTATGAGCTTCACTTACCTTCTTGACACATATACAACGCACACCAATATGACTAAAGAAATCGTCACTTGCAGTTTACAATAGCCTTAACACGCCTCCTTATGTAATATAATGATTATACGACATAACCTGTTTATAAAATCAGTACAGTGTAACACATACACAAACACTAACAGGCAAGAACCCTAGCTTCTTCAATACCTTTTTTGACATCAACTTTTTTGTCGAGCTGATTTAGTGTACAGTCATCACGATGCAATTATAGAATAACAGCGCAGTATGTTCTCTATTGCATTACAAGGCAGTGTTTCCCCTGGCCAAAAAGGTCTGTGGGGGTATAAAGTTTGTTGTTGTTGTGTTTTCGTGTTTCGAGGTCCTAGCAAAGCGAGTACCGCAGGTGCTCGCCCAGCTATGGGGGTCTAAGGGCATGCCCCCAAAACATTTTTGAAAAAATGATGCAATTTGGTGCATTCTAAGCTATTTTGGTGCATTATAAGCACTGTACTATGGAAGAACAGTGATTTTCGTCAGCGAGGCGGTGTATTGGACAAATTTCTGTGTGGCGGCTGAGAATTTGAGAGAGGCGGCCTGCCTCGCTCGTCTCAATGCAAGGGGAACACTGCGAGGGTACGTATTTCATAATCCTCACCAGTGCTCCCGCAGCTCCGTCCTACATTTGTAGCAGCAGTTTGAATTGAATACGATTATAAACGCAAGAAATTTCTAGCAATCGCCAACTTTCAATTGCTAAAATCTAAATCTAAAATGATCAATAGTTATATCAGATGAATTGTGCATTGTGTATGGTATCACATTTGTCGAAACAGTGCTCGTAAATCTCATCCTGCATGGAGCTAGTCTAACGCCATAAGATAAGGGTAGAAACAGGTAATTTCCATGTGACCCTTATCTTCCAGCTTTAACCGCCTATCATTTTGGATCGTGTCTTTCACACGCATTGCACATTAATTGTAATGGCATTTAGATTTGTGTAATATTAGTAACGGACGCACGCTAGTGCGATTCTACAACCTGCACCTGACTCTGCTAGAGGAATGTGATGATACGTTTCAACTATTCGACACTGTCATTTCTGCCACTTCTATTATCAGAAATCATTGCAGCTACTGAGTTCATACACCTGCTCAACAGTGACATACTAACGCTGATAGGGTCTATGACCCCAGGATACTGCCGGAACGTACTCTGGGTACGGTCCAGTATACCGGAACGTACCCTGGTAACTATCTAATACGCCGGACCGTACCTCGCCTACTCCAAACCGTAGGATGGATGCAAAAGGATTGCACGCATCAGTGTATATAGGTTGAAATTTCTTCTTGGTTTCACAGTTTCATACTCCAATCCAACTTTATAAAAATATCATACAGGTCTGTATGTATATTTCAAATTTTGTGACATCAGTAGTGGGCGGAACAGGGACAGTCAGGGTACGGTAGGAAGTAAGCGAGGTACGGTCCGGCATATTAGATAGTTACGAGGGTACGTTCCGGTATACTGGACCGTACCCAGGGTACGTTCCGGCAGTACCCTGGGGGACGGACATAGACCCTCTCAGCGATACTAACTAGGATATAAAAAAAAATTCTGAGCAGTCATTACAGTAGCACCAACATAAAAATGGTACATTAAAAGAAATCAATGCAACAATGGTTCTTTTATATACTCACACATGAAATTTAAAAATTGGAGATGGCCCTACGAAGAGGAAGGCGAGTGCTGTAAACACACATCCTGCAATCATCATTTGCAACGGGTAACCCTGCAATGCAAATCCAAGTTCACTGTCAGGTTAATGTTCCAAAGAAAACATACATTGGCCTCGTTATGGGCGCAACCTTGACAACCATACACAAAAGTAAAGCAATATGTGTTCAAGATTTTTCACCAATAGATATACCCTTAAGAGATTATAAGCTATGGATGACAGCTGTGTTTATATAATATAAATCATTATGTCACATATGTGAGCAAACATCTATCACATGGCTATCAAGGGCACTTAGAATCATTTTTGGGTTATGTACTTACAATTTTGTCCCCAATATATCCCCACAGAGGAGCAGAGAAGGCATACGCGCCTGACATTAGCAGGAACAGCAGGCCAATCACAAATGGATTTAAGTTGAACTGAAAATCAATACAAGGGGATTAGGATTAGTAATCCACTACTCAGTAACGCATCAACATTGTCGTAGAGACTTCTTAAACATCAAAGATAACTAAGTGATGGACATCAAAAAAAGATATATAATATATAAGTATACAACTGTGTTTTGGCCATATTTATCAAATCGCCAAAAGATTTGTGGAAAGCTAGTATATATGTTATTAAGACTATGACAAGCGTCAGAACAAAGGCTAAACAGCTTTATATAAAAAATATATTAAAAAACAAAACAAATTTCTCCTCGATAAATTGCGATACTGAATGCTCTGCTTTGCGTTGCATGCTCTTTCAGCCCTTACAGCACCTAAGTCCAAGTGAGAGCCCTATCGCAAAGCTTCTCAGCACGTGGATTTCTTAAACTGTGATAAAACTATCAAATTTTCGCACACACGCCCAACGACTGCCACTAAATAAAATAAAAGGTGCACCCCCAACAAAATATGCCTCTCAAAGGGGAGGTGGCACTACAACTTCGAAACGGCCGCCACACAATTTCTTGAAATACAGTTCTCTCGGCACACCTCCAGTCTCGATCACTCCTTTGCAAACCTCCCCATGATAGATCCGATTGCGCGTACTGAGAAGCGCTACTCAAGATGGACGATCGGGGGGAGGGGGGAGAAAGTGATTTAAGAAGGAAGCTGGCTCACGAGTTCCAGGTGAGGTTCGAGGGTCGGCTGGAGGAAGCCCATCGACATGGATCCCATGGCGATGATCATCATGCATATGGCAACCGACGGCGCCTTGAGGAAAGTCCAGTATGACTTCGTAATCGGAACGCTGTGGTCTGAAAGCAGAGCAACGATCAGCTGCATGGTACGTGCTTATATAGATGCTAGGGGGAAGTGGCAGATGGGCAAAACACACATTTGTCGTCTTCTACAGGATTTCCTCGCAGAAAGAAATTATAACCTTGAGGAAGATACACGTGTATACTGGACGTGGTGTATATGAGGGTCGCTCCAGAGAATTCCGAAAGTGCCCTTTATAGACAGTGGCCTTATGTCCTTTCTATAGAGGTGGCTCCACTGCATAGCTGCCACTCGAGGGAAATGAGAATGTTATAGGTATGGGCTCGTTCAATTATTATTATAGGTGACTGCAAACACAGATTAAAATGTGCACGAAAAGTGGTCAGTGTTGAGGATGCAATCGATTCCAAACGAAGCAACATGACTCCAGTACTTTTTTTCTAGCTTTATCAGTGATAAAAATCGAGTTGTTTTCTTACACCAGGTGCACACGTGGCGATTTTAATCGCCACGTGTGCGGGACCCGGCAACAATGCAAAGATCTGTTGCCACAACGTACAGGCCACTCGTAATGTCAAAAAGACACGGGCGTTCCTGCCACATTTCAACAAGCTCATCCTGACATCCTCCTGCTTTTTTTCCCACACCAAGGGTGCTGCCATATTTGATCACGTGCTTCAAATCATGCATTTGATTAGTTAATCCAAATGAAAGTGTCAATGACACTGTAGCTCACCACAAAAAACTCGCTACATCCGTCAAGGATGACCTGACGTCTGGCACGGCCCGAAACCGTGATTCAATTGGCCTCCATGAAAGGGAAACCGGCCAGCCTGACATCAGCGTACAGTCCAGCTGTTAACACCAGCAACGACAGAGGAGCCCTAACCGCTAACCCTAACACTAATGTACTAACAAAAATAACACTAAACCTATCGAGTTAAGCGAATTTCATAAATAGTCTTTTACTATCTGCGCGAAGTGAGAAAAAATAAATAAAGATAATAGACAAAATAGAAAATAATAAAACAGATTGATTGAACCCACGCGACCGTCAAGAGAAAGCGTCCGGCGGCCATGACGCGTGTGCCACAATTTGAGCCCGGTTCGACCTACTCTGGGAGTTAGTGTCTCCCGAGTATCGTGAATTGACGTGCCATTACTTGGCATTGGTAGCAAACTTCTATCACTGCGTAATAAACAGGTTCGGAGCTGGGCGTAAACCTAATGTTCTGCCCGTACTGAGAGTATTAGGGTCGCGAAGGTTCAAAGCCTAAATCCACGACGTCACCACCTGACCGTACCCGACTTGACGCACCGCGAAACATTCGATGGCATGGAAACCGATATATCTGCACGCCAGTCAAGAGGCGCGAGGTCAGAAGGGCCCGATGCGCCCACACCCCATATACGATAAAATGGTACCAATCCAAAACTGAAGCTAAACAAAGATTGTGGCGACGCAAGTTCATGACTTAAATACCTCAGCGAAACTCGCCTGAGTTAAAATTATGGCTAAATTGTCTAACTAATTATCCTAAAAAACACCTCTGTTCATCATTCGGTTCTTCCCAATAATATAAGGGTGGAAAAATCACCACCATCTTCTGGTCAACAGTCCACAAACATGGAGATCTGGTCGAACTCTGACATTATTATTTATTTTTCACATAAAAAATTACACATATAATTTCAAGAGTATATAATGGAGTTCTCCCATATATACTCTTTGTTTCTATAATGTACGTCGATGGTGCTCAATACAGACGACTTCTTCGTCAATTCTCATTTGTGTCTTT